AAATACGGCTGCAGCGGCCTGTGGCTGCCCTGCCCAAAGGCTCCTCTGCCCGGCAGAGCTCCCGCAGAGACCTGCGGGCCRAAGGGGCAGAAGGCAGCAGCAGATATTTGCTGTTGTTGCTCTATAGCTGAACCAGCATCTCCTCCACATACATCTTTAGTTGCATACAGCCCTGCATGGATGTTTACAAGATGGCCTGAGCAGATAAGATGACAAATATAAATAGCATATTTTACAGTTTTTTATTTTTCTTAGCAGCTGCCTAAGAGACCCCAAAAGCCCAAATGCCCCCAAACCCAACAGTCTGTTGAAATCCAGCATTTTCCAGTATGTTTTGTTCTATTCTCCTTCCCCTCCAATCTCCAATGTTCTGCTGGAAACGGTGATGAAGAACACATGTCTGTGGTAAACTGCACCCATGAGAAATCTTGGAGCTGTTACATTCAGTTTTATTAGCCAAGGCATTARGATGGTCTGCCACAACATGTATTATTAACTGTTCTATCAAGTGCAACAGCACAATATACGTTTAGACCATTACATATGTAAAAAACATACTAGATTTCTTAATCTCACTGGGTGACTAACCTGCTGTGTTTACATTTTAATTAACAGTTACAGGATGTTTTAGTGTTTCAATAAAATCAGGTGTTACCAAAATGCAAACTGCTATTGCACACCATATTTTCTGGAAAACACATGCTGAGGCAATGATAAGACTGAAAAGCCACTCAAAACTAACATTCAAAAGCCACAAAATTCCAAGTTATTATGCTTCTTTCACAAGAGAAGYTTATGCAAGTGCTGTGTCTTAACATATTTCACAGGCTGCTGTAATAATCAGGGCTACGTGAGGAAAATTCAGTGTGATGAAGCTCTGTGGATGCACTAACCTCTCTGAGAATCAATTTATTGCACTATTGCAAATACTAATCAAATTTAATTAAGCTACAAACAAAATCAGACAATAGCATAACCACCCCCTAAGCACTGATGAGCTGCATCTTTTGGGGGACTTTTGCATTAGTTCTGGGAGGGAGTCACATCACCAGATGAGACTGGCCTATCTATATCCAGGCCTATCTACATTTAGGCAAGTGTGAGCGAGTTAATATTTAACAGTGTAGAAATAAAAGATACTTTATATAAACCTGATAATTATTTTGACTGATGATTTGACCTCACAACCTTAACAAAGCTCAGAAATGATTTTCTAAGGGTTTTCCATCTTATTTCCCAAGTGACTCTATGGGAATAAAAAAGAAAGAAAATGGGTCTGTCAGAACATGCACCGTGGAGGCTCCACAGAGATGAGGAAGACCAAAGGCTTAGGCAGCAGTTCAGAGCCACAGCTAAGATTTGGCTTTTAATTTCAGCTTACATCATTTAGAATCAAAAAACACCAGACTTAGTAGAGTATTGGGTCCATACTAAAATCCAGACAGCCGACACAAGGTGTATGGGGAAGCAGAACACAAAGCCCTCTCTGTTCCCAGAAATTGAATCATTAATTCCTGAAAATACATACAAGATTTTTTCTCCSCTAAATGAGTCATGAAAGGCTGAATGTGCCAGTGCATTTCACAGACTGCAAGTTGAGACCTAGAGAGAGTCACATGTACAACATCATACTGAGAGTCTTCCTTACTTCATTAGCACATAGTCAGCATGTGCAAGACCAACTCTAGTCTCCTAGTCCTCTCTGGTGGTCACTGGCTCACAGAAAACACCCTGTGCAATCATGATTTGTGCTGTACTACAGCACACACAGGAGTCAACTCGTGCTTGTAAGGGAAATTGAAATGCTGGCATTTCTCCACTTTCAACTGCTTGGCTTTGCAATGCAAATAGTATACTTTTGTATGGCWTTTTAAAGACAAAATTCCTATGACAAAATTTATAGCAACAAAAGCTTTGTCACTTCAACAAAAACTGTCCAATGAGTAGCAGTGCTTGAAACTTGAAGCTGCAGCTCTGTTTTCCTTTGAGCTACCTGGTAGTGGAAGATTTACTGCAGAAGGGATATTGAATATTTGGGAACTGCAGGCCCACACGGGGACCTGAAGGCAAGCAGTGAGCCGGCCAGCAGTATTCCCAGTCTATACAGTATACTGGTTTTATTCTTTTCCCTGACAAGTCCCATCTAACATTCTTCCTATCARTTGTCTTAGTGGAATCCTCAAAAATAAGACATCTTGATCATGGCTTTGTTCTGCTCATGAAAGAGACATTCCAAGAATTACTCAAATTGATTTTGGTCTAATTAATTTTGTAGCCATTCAAAGGCAAAAGGAGTTTGCTTTTTGCTTCTGAATTAAAGTAAAAAGAGGACAGGACATTGTCTTTGGAACACAACCAACATGGATCCATGGTTATTCTTAACTAGTAGAGCTGGGCTGCTTTATGGAAACAGGCCAACTTGCATCTGCTAGAAGGGAGAGTCTGCTGTTAATGCCACATTCTGCTGTAAGCTCTAGAAAATGTCTTAGCATTATGGCCACTGAATTATGGTACCAAATAGGGAAAGTGGTGCTGTCACTCCACTCACCATCTCTCAGCCACGTTACAAAGCAAGTAAGTGCTCCTGCAGTGCTCTGGGAAGAAAGCTTGTAGGTGCTGGGCATGCAGAYACGGGTTTGACTTGCTCTGCCTCTCTGCAAGCAGGCAAGGTAGGCAGGATGTGGAGGGGAACAGATGCAGCACACACAGAGCCAGCAATAACACAGGCCACACAGGAGTCTTTCTAGGGCTGCTGGCGTTTTCCAGTCTTCTCTGTTCGACAGTGGACACAGCAAGTTGCAAACTCAGCAAATTCCTATGATGCCGAGAAAACAATCTGTTGGATGAATAAAGGCTTGCAAACTACCCAAGAGTTATTCCTAGAAATTCCCTTTGACAATTTCCTCCTAAGACAATTCTTGTTTTTGGCCACTACAGTAGTCTTGGTTCAGTATTTTTGTATTCTTTATGGGTAGATGTAACGAACGGTCATCTCTAAATAAGATGTAGAAGCAAAGAGTGCTGCTAAGCCTCCCTGAGCAAGGAGGAACCCAGGCACACGCTTGTGCAAAAATTCAGCTGTGCTAGCAACACACACAGAGTAACAGAAGGTTGCAAGGACACTGGCTTTGTGTTACACAATTAACTTCACAATGCAGTAATGATGTCTGACCTAAGGACAAATGCTTTMACAAATCAAGATATTCAAAAAAAGAGTTATAACATTTAGAATTCCAAAGCAGTCCATACCCATCATGTTTGTCTGTAAGCATGTGATCAAGTTGCAAGTCCATAGTCTGAGGTCCCACATATTAACAAATCAGACGCTCATGCACAAGGAGGCGAATGCCATAAAAGAAAGAATGATTTTTGTTCCACAAATCGAGGACTTTTGTACAGAAATTTTCATTCACTTGTCTATCTCCCCAGAGATTGAGAAGGAGGAGCTATGCATTTGCTTTTACTTGGGGAATCTATACGCTGGAAATCAAGCATACAAGTACACTGATAAAAAATAAGCTATTGCTGACAGACTGTTGAAAAGTAACATAAGGCAGTGTAATGTAAACACTATATATATATAAATATATATATACACACACACATATATAYACACATATATATGTATGTCTCGCTCTGCATCTGTAGCCTGATGACCACAGAGGCCACAGGGGAAGTTTGCAGGCACACAAGCCTGCAGCTCTGCTTTGTTTCCTACCTTCATTTCCAGGAACTTAATTTCCAGGAACTTAATTTCCAGGAACTTCCAGGATTCCCACACTTTTCACAAGCAGAAAGAGACAAAACAGCCATTTCTATCATTGGTTAACATATCAAAAAAAGGCAAAATATGAAAATGCAGTTTTAGAAAATGAGAGTTTGGTCTTGCCCTGTATCCTGCAGAGGATGTTGCTGAGGTGGTGAGGGAAACACCATGCAGCTCACAAGATAGATAGAGCACCCTGTGAGAACYAGCAGAGCAGAAGTCTCTGAGATGTGGGAAGCCACCAGGCACATAGAGCCATGTATTACAGGCAACATTGCAAGGAGTRTGACAGTAAAGGCCTGGTGCAGGTATGGCTGGACCTACCCATTCTGCAGTAGGAGTCTCATAAAAATTAAACCATTTAACATKCAAAGAGACAGCAGGCCAGGAAGAACACACCTGTATTCTGCAGCATTAGAGCCCACAGGGAGTTATACCAGATGGAGACCAGCAGAATTACTGTCCTGCCAGGGAGCTTCCCCACTAAGGTAAATTCTTGGCCAAAGGCTTTCAATTGAAAGCTCCAGGAGACATTTTGATTTATGTTTGTGTGTTCCCTGCCTCAAAGGTGACCTGGGCAGTGACCTACTCACCAGCAGTGAGCATCAAGATAGCCGACATCAGYGAGGGAAGCTCTCTTCCTCTGTTCAAATATGTCACCCGCATTAATTTCTATAACAATTTTAGCAATTTTCAAGTAAGTGACAATAGCAGCAAGAAGTTAGGACTTTCCTGTTCTCATGAGTGCTCACCTAAAAAAGGGCTTAGCACGTTATTTTTAGAAGCTAATGCTCATGTTGTTTCAGCAGAAAGCTCAATGTTAGCTTTAGACACGTCTTCTTTTATGCCAGACAGGCCAGCTCCTAGTATTCACAAAACAACTGTGGTTCATTGAACCTGTTTCCAGGATTAATTTTGACTTCGCAAGGCCAATTTTGCACTGATCAGTGAAAGAAATCATTGGAAAGATTACCTTATGAAAACACACAAATTTAGCCAATCTTTAACAAAAAGCACAAATTGTGGAGCTTTCATCAGACTCAGCACTACTCAAGTACGGCCTGTCAGCACTTGGCATATATGAACATCGGAGATGGAACAAAACTACAGGAAATCCTCGCGCTTACTCACATACCCTCAGCACCGCAGACAAGTCTGGCTTTTCTTGAATGCTGCTTCCAGCTCTCGTTTTCACAGTCATGCCATTTCCCACCACACTAAAACAGCATCTTACCTGTTATTTTCTGCAACAAGGGAGAAGGTTCTGGYTCATCACAGATTGCCTTGACTAGAGCTTTTTTCACTTCTTCTTCCGCTTCATCCAGCTCTTTTCCGCCTTTCATTTCTCCAACCACTGAATACATGTACACCAGCAGAACAAGGAAGTCCTCGCAGGTGTAGTCATCTTGCGTCCGCTCACTGTGACACTTGATCATTGGCAGGAGCTGTTTCAAGACACTGGGCATTTCTGACTCTCCAATAGTCTGAAAACACAGAGGAAGAGTGTGTCAGATGCACCCCATAGTGCTTAGCAGCACCTGCTTGCATCCTGAAGAGTTACCATTCCTGCAAAAGAAACAATCTCTTAATGTCAAATTATCTTTTTTGGGTAAAAGGAGAGACCAGAACAGCTAGGGTTTTTTGGTTTGAAGAGGTAAAGGTGGACATGGGATATGACAGAAGTGGGGAATAAGCTCAGTGTGGATCTACTGTTCAACAAATACTACAGTACAAAAAATAACGTGGGACAAAAACAACCATTTCAAAAAGAGATAAGACAAATTCATGGATGACAGGTCTATAAATGAACATTAAAAGGTCTAATCAGTGATAAGTCCTCCAGCATCCCTAGTTCATTAGCTCCTTATTCAATATTTACATTTTCCTCATTTGTCAGCACATGGTCCCCTGACCTATTTTGCTGCTCAAAAAGCAAATGCATTTGTTTCCTAAGGCTTTTTTCCTAGGCACTCATAAAAAAAAATAGCAGTTGATAAACCATAATTATTAGACTTTCTCTACATAACAGTGAGATGGAAGAACCAGAGCACGAGTCTCTTTTGCAGGGGCAGAACGGCCCAAAGCACAAGGGCTGCCCCGCAGTCCCGGGCCCACGCCTCGGTCCCGGTTCTGTGCTCGAGCAGGAGGCTCCAGGCGCCGCTCCCAGCGGCTCCCGCGGCTATCGCAAGCTGCAGCACATCTGCAGCCCTGACCCYGTGGTTTCAGGTCAGAAACACAGAAAATTAGAAGCAGAGGGAGCCACTTGTGAAATACCAAGGTGAAGGGCCCGGCTTGGGCTCCCGCGGGAGCCCTGCGACAGCACGGGGCGCATTTCTGGGGGCGGCAGCCGCGGCCTCGCGCGCGCTGTGACCCTCGGCAACCCTGCCTCCCTCCCAGCGCTCCCACCAGCTTCTCAGCTGAGGCAACGGGGCCTTTTTTCACCCCCAAACCCTCCTTTGCGGCACAGGACTGATTCGTTCCCACAGAAGGGCCATGCTGCGGGGTGAACAAGGTCGCATGGCGGGAGAAGAGGTTTGTGACCCGTGACTAAAAGATGATCATGTTGTGTATCCGAGGAAGGGAGGCTGGTGGARGAGGAGAGAGACAAAAGAGAGGACGCTGGCATTTCCTAGCTCCTGAGCCACTGGAAGCACAACTGCTTCTTCCACAGTCTGTGAGAGGAGGAAGGAGCTTTTCCATGGTTGGAAAAAGGACACTTAGTGGAGTTTCTCCCCTAAGCAACATACTGACTCCCACATCACAGACCAGACAGGCGCTGAGATCAGACCCTTGCTTCTCCAACCAGCAGCACAACTAGTAGCACCAGGGAATCACCTTCCCTGCTGTGCATGCACACCTACACACAAGATCCACAAGCCCCCTTGCTGTCTGCTCCAGTTAAGGTTGTAGTTTCTCAGCGGTTGGGTATGTGGGACACCCACAGGAGAAGCACCGGCAACCGCGAACTGTTGGAAGCACCGGCAACCGCGAACTGTTGGGTCAACCCAAGGGGTCTGCTGCAGCGCCCACCTCAGGACCCCACGCTCTGCCCCGAGATCACCACATGAGCCCTCCTGAAAACATCCGCATCTAAGCACAGAACAAAGCAAACCCCTGGATATCCCGTAATCCAAAGAATCAAGGCTGCCAACATTTGCTCTTGCTTCTACTACAGGAACTTCCAACAGAGTACTCATGGTAGTAAGTTCTGCAGCCAGTAACACACCCTTACAAYAGAGGCCAGATAATAACAGCAAAGGAAAATAAATACAAAATAAACAGGAACTGCTTTGTACAATAACAAAATTACATCATTAGGTTTATAGCTGCTTTAAACCACATTAAGTTCTGCCTTCTTTTGCCAACTGAAACCTAGACAGGGATTTCAGAGTCTAACTACGAGCACATGGAAACTCAAAGAATTTGTCTCCTAGTGTGTCCCTGAGATACCTCAAGTGTTCCTGAGTTGGGCTGTATTTTGTTTCAGTTGCTCTTTAACAACATACTCTAACAGGCATCTCATAAATTGTAATTTTATTTGTATACAGATCCATTACAGATCTCAATCATAAAGAAAACATGAACTACTGAAGCTCTGACAAAACTTTTTCTAAGCTGGTGCTAGAAAACACCACTTCTGCTGACTTCGGGCCTCATCCTACTCCTGACACAGATACAGTGTCAGAAATATAGAGACTGATCTTTCAAGCATCTTTAATGCGGTCAGACATTATGATTTTTATTTGAACACATACCTTGGAGAGGAATTTTTCTAATGACTCATATGCTAAATTTAACAGTAGGTGTAACTTAAGGCTTTCAAACAGTAAATTATAAAGCTACAGTAGTCAAAAACATTTGAAAGCCTAAAAGGAACATTTAAAAATCTGGGAGGATTTGCCAGCACATGTGTGGTTCTGCGGGGAACATTAAATTAGATGGACAGCAAGTCCAGTCCCTGTGCTGCCTGGAAAGCAAATCTAACACCCTTGGGGTTGGCCTGGCACATGCTGGCAGCTGGGCCACCCCTAYGACAGTGCTGCTGCTTTCCTAAATTTCAAGTGAGTCCTGCCCCAGTTCAGTGTTGCCTGTTTACTTTCTAAAAAGTGATATATTTAGACACATAGACAAATTCTTATCTGCATGCTGGTATGACAAATTTCAGATCATCCTGATCCTAAAATGGAAGATGACAAAATTGAAGGAATTTAGATGTATGCAGCTACCTGGAGGACGCCACTTGCAACAAGTCACATGTAAACATGTCACAATGTAAACAAAAGACTAGTAAATATTAAAAATCGAAGGTCTGGAGATTAACTTKTGCATTGAGCTATTCTCCAATAAATGACGAACTTCAACATACTTCCTCTATTAATCTGAACTCACATCCAAGTTCAGGCAACCCTGTTTGACATATTATTGAACACCACTTAGTGGCACATCATCTATTCCAACTCGCCAAGCACGCTGCACTCCCCCATCTCTAAGTATCGGATTGCGTGTTCCTGTGACATGAGACATGATTTCTTGGAAAGGGAATGGCTTGCTTTTTACATGCACAAATTCATTCCAAGCTCAGGCGGTACTGAGAAGACATATGCTCATAAAAACAGRACATCGACAACTCCTGCCTGAGGACTTAATAGGTCTTAAAATACGTGTGTGCAGCACCTCAGGGAAGCTTTCAAACCTATAGGAGTAAAAAATCTGGGTCTAAACTTTCAGGGTGATTTACTGAAGGAAGGGCAGAAACACAAAAACTTAAAGCAACAATTGCCACCTCTTATCTTCAAAGTAAAATTGAAAGAAAAATATGAAAGAGCTACAATAAACCGTTAATTTTAATATGCACACAGGGTCTTCTGGGGSTATGAACTTCTTTGGAATGTTTTTTTCTTATCTCTGGGGAAATGGTGCTACAGAGGACTGCGAACAGGACTGCCAAGTTGGAGAGGCTGCTCCGTACAAAGAGGCCAGTTGGACAGGACAGTGCCTGAGGAAAGGGGCTCTGGGCTCCGCAGGGAGCTGGGAAATCTGCCTCGCACAGGGCCCACTAGCACATTGTCATTATCAGCCACCTCTGATGATTTAGGTGCTCCCTCCACCGCGCTGCCATCCATCAATTACCCTCATTGAACAACCCTAAAACACAAGTTTTAAAAAWGTAACTACCCGTGACCCAAATTTCCTGCTGGTTATGTTGGCCTCAGGTTAGCCCCATTTGTCTATCATCAAGGGAGCCAATAAAAATAATAAAAACAGGTCAATTTGGAGCTTTCCAGAGGCTGCATAAAAACATTAACACTGCTCAAGTCGGAGCCAGCTAWGGACCAAACTCTAACGCCTTCTGCTCAGTTGCATTGTTTAGACATTTTAACGCTATAATCATATATTCTTCAGAATCCGGAGAGAGTTTGTGATAGATTCTTGTTGTTTTCCATCTTTTTCCTCCACCCTCCTTACTTATTTATTTTTAAAACTTAAGCTGTGCAATAATTTACTATCCCTAAGGGTAAATGAACTGACGTCAACTTGCTGATTTTTGCAAAAGGCCTGTGTTTTGGCAGATGGCAGGAGAGTCGAGTACAAAAATAATTTTGCAGTTTCTAAACAGCGACCAGGACACTGTGCTTCAAAAATTACATTTAAAATCTAACTTAAAAGATCTACAGGAATGAAGAGGATGTATAATAAACTGTRAAAAAAAAAAAAAAAGTTTTGCATTTCTGTGTGTGGGGTTGTTTTTATTTAACTCAAGCAATTACAAGCTTATTTACTATTCAAAGTAATGCAATAACCTCCCATTACATGTCTTTTACCCAAAAGAAAATGGAGTGCTCTGGGCAGGAAGAGAAGAGGAGGGTCAGAGTTGACTTGAATTAACATGTGTCCCTGACAAACGGAGAAGAGAACTAAGGCCCTCTAATCCCTTAACTTCCAACCTACTGTCCTCAACACATCATTAAAAATATTAAAGAAAAACTCATCTGCAGGCAAGTGGAATTTATTTTCTTTTAGAATCTAGGAGAAAGGAGGAGATAATCTTAAAAAACTATCTGGTTATGTAAATCGTCTAGTGGCTTTTGGTCTTGGGAGAAAAACATTTTAAATTCCTTTAGAGGTTGCACGAGTTAAGAGAATTTTTTGGAACGTGAATCACAGAGCTTTACAACGGCAAGAAATTTACTGGAGAAAAACAAAACAAAACAAGCAAAACAACCCCCAAGCCCAGCTGTAGTTGAAATCAGCAGGAAGACTAGGGGGAACTCACAAGTCCTTGATTCATACAGTGCCCCTTCACTCCTGGAACATCCTGTGCAGACGTACTTCGAGGCCTCGCTATGTGTCTTTTAACACGTAGGACAGAGAGGCATCGAGTGCAGAGACGAAGGCTTGGACCATCCAGCCCTTTTCTTACAAGCCCATTCAGACCTCATGTATTTATCCGAGCTGCTATTCTTTCAATAACTTAGGGGAAAGA